CTAAACCTAATTGAAAGAAAAATCATTTTTTTGTGGTTTTTGTATTATTTTGAGAAAAATAGAGTTTAATTGAATAAATAAAGAAAACCTAATGACTAATTAATTTTATTTAAGAAAAATAATTAAATTAGCCTATTTTTGTATTTTTTATTTTATTGAGAAAAGAAATAAAAATTAAATCATATGATAACCCTAATTTTTCTAATTCATTTTAAATATTTACAAAAAAAAGGGTTAGAATTATCCTAAAGTTAAAACTAATATGAAATTAATTAGATAAAATAAAATAAAACCTAAACTCTAAATTGGTGAAATTGATTTTATGATTTTTTGTAAGAAAAGAAATCAATTTGTGATTAGAAAATAAATTAAATAAAGAAATTAAATAAAATGAAAAATATAGAAGAAAAAGAAATGGGCCTGGTTATTGCAAGAAGGGGGGGTCTAAATGGCAAATCCTAAGCCCAATAGCGCCTAGCCCATTTGACTTTTCATGATCTCATGCGCTTGCTTGACTAGGGTGTACTGTGAACCATCATTGGGAAACCTTGGATCTGGCATGTGGATGACCTGTTGGCTGGATGTTGATGGTGTATGGTGGACTTGCTGGACGCTTTTACACCTGATTTCTCAAAGAAAAATAATATTGAACAATATGGGGACCTGGGGATCGAACCCATGCCCTTTGGCTTTTCCCAACGCATGCTTGCCAGCTGGGCTGGCTTTGTTAGTTATATGAATCATAACAAACAAATATTATATGGAAAACACAAAATAACAATTATCCCACGCGCGAAAATTTGAATGGGCCGTTCATGGGGCGCCACGCCATCATCTTCTTCCTCCCTCCGTTGCTAAAAGATCAGAAACTTTTACCTACAGACAAATGGGCGTAGGTACAGCCCTGTGTTTCTCCAGAACCTTATCCCTGCATGATAAATCAATACCAGTGGTACCAATCAACTCGTTGCAATCTCACGAGCATCATGGTACCACTCTCCATGGCCAATTGTTCCTGTGTGTAAAATCCCTAAAAATGAAACTAAAACCCTAAACATGGCAACTTGTTATATAGCCAATAAAAATGCAATTAAGTATTACCATTAGCTTGCAAATGATTCAAGGATTCAGAATATGCAAATAAATCATGCTAAAAGTGAAAGAATTGTGATATTCGATTTCAAGAAAGCATGGATGTCGTGAGATGCTTACAGCGCATTTTTGGATGTTATGAGGCTTGCTAGTGATTGGAATAGGGTCCTTGGATGTCCATCAAACGAGTGGTATGCCTGGAATGGCTTGAGGAAGCCTGGAACTAGGAAATCAGATTGCAACTTTTCTTTGAAATTTTGAGATTTGTTCTTCTCTTTTCACGCCTCCAATGTCCTCGTTTTTTTATCTGCACTTGTTCTATATGTATCCTAGAATGAATTAGGGTTGCAATTTGGCTTCAAATCTTCTCCAATAATAATCATTGATTCAAGATTTGATTCTTTATGCAAATCTTTCCAAATTAAGGAAATCCAATCTTTTTGTGTCCATTTGAAGCTTGCACGATTTGATTCTCTTTCCAGCTGTATAAGAGACCTAAACATGCACAAAATCTCAAGCTTTGATTAGTTTTGATATTTTCATGATTTTATTTTGATTTTATTTTATTTAATTTGAAATAAAATCAAAATAAATGACAAAAATAAAATAAAGACAAGTGGTAGAGATCATGGGTCGTGGGTCATGTTACAAACTCAATGTAAGCATAAAAAGTTAGGCCCATTTGATAAAAAATGCAATTTTGGCCACATTTGACTTTTGGAAATTTTGCAAAAAAGGTCAACTTTGCCAATGCATAACTTCTTAAATTTTGACCCTAGAGAGGTATTCTTGGACCTTTTAGAAAGCTTAAGATGTCCTATAAGCAACCCTTTTGGTCTCATCTCAATTGAGTCTTCCATGTTCATGTATGAAGCTTTGACAAAAAAGGTGTTTTTTTTTACTTTTAAAAATGACCTATAATGTCCAAATTTATATCTTCTTATGAGTGCATATTTTGAACTTGATAGATGAATATTAATTGTAGGGAATTCCATCCTATTCAAAATGAGATTTGGATGGGTCATTTTTGATAAAGTATGAAAACGTTATGCTTGGTCAAAGTTGAGTTGACTTTTCCTACAAAACCCTAATTTAGCAACTTTTGGGTTTTGATGAATTATGAGCAATCCTTGAGGAATCATGATCAAACCTTGATAAAATGATGAATAATGCTTCAAAATGATAATGTTGACCAAAAATCTTAAAGTTTGACTGTATGTGGGCCACAGTTGACTTTTGCGCTAGCATAGTCGATTTTCAGCCCTTTGAGCAATTGACTGAGCAAACTTCCTCTGCAAGGCTTGAAACTTGACATGGATGATCTTGAGAACCAATTAGGAAAATGGTGAGCACTTGGGATCCTTTGTATTCAAGCATCTTGATGCAAACTGAAACCCTAATTTGAGGTAGACTGCCTTAGGAGAGAGTTTGTCTGGTCAACCCTTGGACTTCCTTGAGCAATTTGAGGACCTCACTTGAAATGTTTTGAGAAATATGGGAGGGTAAATTTTGGGGTACAACAAGTGTAATTAAATAATTTTTAATATGAAATCTAGTTTCTGATTAACCATGCATAAAAAAGTTCAAATACAACGAGTAAAATCATCCACAATTGTTAAGAAAATATTTAAAATCCTATAAAGAGCGGGTTCTTTTTGGTCTCTAGATATCCATATGCACCAATTCAAAAGAATGAGATGTCACAGAAGAGATATTAGAAAAAGACAGCCGACCTTATTTTGCAAGGTAGCAAGCATAGAAAATCATAGTCTTATGATATTTGATACAAGGAAAAATAAGACATTTGTTGTAAAACATCATTAGATAATGGATTGTCTAGTCTATGATGTCATACATCTATAATGTTATGTAAAGTATAATCAGTAACAATATCACATGTACAAGAATTATAGTTACAACTATTAGTCATATCACAAATTAAGTGTGTAAATGAGGGTGTTTAGTGGAACATGTAGAAATTGTTATGTTGGGTCACTTGACCAATTATCTTCTGTAAGAAAATCCTTAATTTGATAGGAATTGTGTGAGAAATGTATCTGATATTGTAAATTCTGGAATTAATTTTTATATTGAAATGAGACTAAATTGAAATGCATGTATATTGTTTAACTACATATAATTATCAAAGTGGATTGAGCCACAAAAATTGACAGTGATGATGTTCACAATAGGGAAGTGAATATGAACAAGGTCAATAAGTGCAATAATGGGAAAAAATTGATGTGGGAGAAACATGATTTGATGCCCCTGAGTCAAGAATTCATATAGATAATTGTTTTAAATCAATGCCTATATTGGTGATACTTGAGACTACATCGGAATTATCATCAGAGATGGACTTATTTGTGTTCTGATTCTGAGCATCTTTTTGTGATTGTTTAAGAATAATATGTAAGTGTTGGTAGTCTTATTTAGAGATGATTCATTGTTTGTCCGAAGTCTAAGCAGGATTGGTTATGGCTCTATTTTTTGAATGAGAATTAGGGTGAGTAGTTATGTTTCTTGTTTGATATTCTAAAGGAAAATTATGTTTGAAATAGAAACCATCAATTATATGGTTAATTGTGTTTAAATAAGTGCATAGCATGGGGGATTTTCCTCTGCCGCGTCCCAAGGAATTGGAATTGTTGGAAACTAAGAGTGTGGAATAAGTGGTGGAAGGTTGAGGGACTAATACCTCTTGTTGAACAATAAGGAAGTAAACACGAGTGATACTTGGAATAGGGTATCTGATTAAGATTTTGGTGTGAGTTTTATTGTAGGAGTCATTAAACCCTTTAAGAAGGCAACACATATACTCCATATGTTTGTATTTATGAATAGCTTTGGCGAGGTTGCAAGTGCAAGGAATTAATTTGGCAAGAACAAGATCGATTCGAACAAAGATCCTCAAGCTCGTCCCATTGAATATTTAGTTCAATGAAATACAAAGAAAGTGAATTGTCACCTTCCTTGATTGAATGGAGATCCCGAAAAATGATTACCCTTGTTGAATCTTTCACTGAGATCATCCTAGAGCTAAAAGGATGAATCAAAGCAAATTGTGCTTTGAGTAATGTGAGGTGAAAAGTTTTTGTTGATCCATGTTGTTCTCTCGATCTTAAAGCTCAAAATTACGGTCAGGTGAAGGAAACTTTTTTAGGGTTTTGTTTATGAAAGATAGCTTGTTCTTGGATGTCATAGCATGACGCATTAAATGACTTCATTTATGGCCGTCAAGGGAAAGCGCGACAAAGATTGTACCTAGGTCTTCTCTAAGGTGTAAGTAGAAGTTTCATGGATTTGTCGCTGGATTTTCAGGGGTGATGGTGGTTGTTGACGAATAGTCAACAACAACCGATTCATTCTCATGATCAGATGCCATGGCTAAATGAATCGAGAATTAATTTTCCAAAGAAGAAATATGGCGATGAAGAATCCTAAAAAATTATCAAAAAGAATTACAAATGTGAGTAGAGTGGGCAAATTCCACATTGGTTAGGAATGTGGAGACTTGAGCATTTATAAGTGGGAGAACCCAGAAACCTAACACCATAAGGGTTTGGATGAATATGTAATGTATCTCTCACAAAGGTGTATTACTCAAATAATTGAAAGTCCCAAAATAGAAAATCTCCTCGCTTGACCCTCCGAAGAATGAAAGGGGTTCATCTTTATTAGTTATCTGATACCATATTACACATTATCTTTTTGATGTGTACGAAACATAATACATATTAAATAGCCTTAAAGGTTTGATGTATTTGTCAAAATATAAGGTGTGAATACGAGAGAGAGATCTCAGCTTATAGCAAACTAATAATAAGGACCTAACAGAATAACTAACTTAATTAACTAACATATAAGTTTTTAATAGAAATAACTAATTGGTTTGATCAAATGTGCAGCACCTTCATTTTATCAATGATTGTGATCAATCTATAAGCCGAGATCTAGATGGTTTTCCAGTGACTTGCAGGTTAATGAAATTTGTTTGATTCGCTACTGCTGAGACAATTTGTTTAAATAATTTTAATTAAACATAAATTTTTGAATTTTATGTAGTGGAGAATCGTATGACAATATGATAGTGGCTGATCAAAAAACTCAATTTGAAGACATAAATTATCACAGTTTTAATCACGTAAGATATTCTCATTGGACTAATTTCATGATGTAAATTTGTTACTATTTCTTAAATGATGTTCTATTTAAATTAATACAAGTTTACTTTATTATTTTCAGTTCAATTTACAAATGGAACAAGGGTTGTCACTTCGACCGAACTTGCTAACATTCAATCGATTAAAATTCTTTGCTTCAAATGGATTTAAACTTGGACCAGTTGTTTTCTCTTCACGGTGAGTTCTTAAAATAGTTTATCATTGAATCAAAATGTTTTAAAAATCAGACTGGACTGACCGATTAACAGATAAAAAACCAAATTTAAATTTGATTTTATAGGTTGACTGGAGGTTCAATTGTAGGATCATTTGGTCCACATCAAGCATTTACAATTGGTGGTGCCAACAGTGTAAGAGGGTATGGTGAAGGAGCAGTTGGTTGTGGACAATCATGTTTGATATCTAAAATTGAAATGGCAATCCTATTGGTATATATAATGCTCATTAATTTAATTTCCACATTATCATTGCAACTAATCATTGATTGATGTTGGCCATACTCAACTTTTTGTAGAATGAGAAAGTAACAAATGTTTTTTTCCTTGATAGTGGATCTGATTTGAGAAGTAGCCATAGAGTTCCTGGTGAGTTGCACTGAATTACTCCCTAATCCCAATATACTTAAAATCACGTATTTAACTCTTTAATGCTCAATATGTGCTAAAGTACTTTGGTTTAATATTTTGAATCCAATGAGAATTGCAGGAAATCCAGGACAGAGGCAAAGTAAACCAGGATATGGATATGGGATTGGGTGTGGAATTCGATTTAAAACTAAGTTGGCTCGAATAAAACTTGATTATGCCATCAATGCCTTTCAACAAAGATCTTTCTATTTTGGAATTAGTAATAATCTAGCTATATGATATTACAAATTGTCAACGGTGTTTTCATGTTAATTTGAATAAACAATTAAAATAATGTAATGGTGTTTTCATGTTAATTTGAATAAACAATTAAAATAATGTAAACGTGAAAGGACAACATTATAGTTGTAGTGAAAACGATGTCAAGAATAAAGTATAATAGGTTTTTTTGAGGTAAGAAATCTATAAGATAGGAATCAGGAAAGCAAGAAGAACACAAGGAATTGATTATTAACTGGTATTCTTTATTTTCTCTTTGAAACAATATTACAAGTGTTACAGAATAACAAATAACCTCTCTCACTCTAAATTAGGATTTCCAGTACACAATGATGAGAGACTAGTATGTTATTTATAATAAAACTAAGACACTAAACTAACGGGATTTTACACACAGACCTATTACAAGCTAACTTAAACACTTAGGCATAACAAACAGGCTCAGTTCAACATGTTAATAAATCTAGCATTTCGAACACATCATGTGAGAAGACTTCGATAACAAGTTTGAATTTTATCGAACCAATAAACTTTTCCTGTCGTAATCTCGACACTAGAGTTTCGATCCAATAGTTTTCATAAATCTCGACCTTAGAACAAACTCTACAACATCAAAAAAACACACTAGTTTTCTTCATGCGACTTTATCAACTACATATAGTGGAAAACCTTGCAACTTGACAAAGTCTTGGTGATTATATCAGCAACATTGTGATCTATTGAAACCTTTAACACTTGGACTTCTCTACGCTCGATTACCCCTCTGAATAAATGCAACCTCACATCGATGTTCTTGATTTGCTCATGATAGGATGAATTCTTCGACAGGTGTATTGCACTTTGACTATCACATTTAACAGTGATAACTCGACCTTGAAGTTCCAACTCCTTAGCAAAACCTTCAAGCCACAATGCTTCTTTCACAACTTCATTGAGTAATATATTCTGCTTCATTGGTTGATAAGTCAACAACCTTCTGAAGTGTCTTTTTCCAACTGATTGATGTCCCAAACATAGTGAACACATATCCAAAAATAGATTTTCTAGAATCCATACAACCTGCATAATCAAAGTCGACATATTCTTGGATCAATGCTTTACTATCTTCACCATAAAAACCACCATAAAGTAGGACTTTATTCAGAGACTCATTTATGTACCTTAGAGTCCACTTCAATTTTTTCCAGTGAACCTTTCTAGGATTCACAATTTACTTTACAAGACTTATTGCATATGCTATGTCGGGTCTAGTACATATCATAACATACATAAAAGAACCTACTATATTAGCATATGGGATGTTATTTATATAAACTTTTTCGACCTCGGTAATGGGACACTGATCTATAATCAACTTGAATTGAGGATTTGTTATAGTCACAACAGGCTTTGAATTTAACATACCAAACTTGTTGAGAATCTTCCTATGCCTCTTGAGATAAGCATAATTTCGAATGCTTTCTATATCTTTAGATGTCAATCCCAAGAATCCTGGATGCAGCTCCCAAATCCTTCATGTTGAACTCCTTATTGAGTTTAGCCTTCACCTTCAGTACATCCTCGACATTGTTGATTGCTATGAGAATATCATCCACATAAAGCAACAAAATAACAAATGAATTTCCTGGTTGAAATGTGAAGTAAACACAATGGTCAAAATGACTTCTAATGAAACATATGTGTGCCGTGAACATGCCGAATCTCATATTCCATTGTCGAGGAGATTATTTCATTCCATATAAAGATATATTCAATTTGGACACATAATATCCCTTTCCCTTTTCTGCATACCCTTCAGGTTGTTTCATCAGAATTGTTTTATCTAGATCTCCATACAAGAAAATAGTCTCCACATTCATCTATTCCAGTTCTAGGTCGAACTATGCCACCATGGCAAATAAGATTCGTTCTAGTTCCATGGTTTTAGGATTGGCAACAATTTCGCTAAAACATGGTTCTACTAATGTTGTGCAAGATGTTATAACATCTGGATCAAGTTTCATAACAGTTCAACTATTATGTGTTTTTAACCAGATGTCAAAGACAGATGTCATGACATCTTGGTCTGGTACAACAGGTGTTGCTATTTTATTTCTTGATAAGATTTGATTTGATTTTCTGAGATTCCTTTTGGATATATCTCAGTTATTTTCATAGGTCAAAGTTTTTAAATTTGGAACTCTTTGATTTATCTCCACTGTATACAGGTTGCCAAAATTGAAGTTTGAGAAAATTAAGGAAACTTTGTATTAGGTTCCAAGATTCTTGGAGATTTTTCTACATAGATTGATGCAACTCTCATCATGGACAACAATGAATATCTGGGCGAATATTCAAGGCCCAAAGATTGCTAAGGAGTATTTAAGGAAACTACCTACACCTAATAGTCTTAAGAACTTTGTAAAAAATAAGGGGAAGCTAGATTTTCTCAATTTTTGGTTTGAGGGTTCTTCAAGGAAGTTTCTGTTTTTATTTGTACGTCCTCGTATATCTTTGATGCATTTGAGTTGATTTATTGTTACTTGACAGTTTGTTAAGTTATTATTCTCGCTCTAAATCCTTTAAGAAAGATTATGAGTATTTTGATTGAAGTGTTAACTTCAGTATTGTTTTTTGTTTTGTTTTGAGTCACAGTGATTGTGGCTTGGTTATATACTATCACTGAGATTGGGACAGGTCTTTTATCACTGTGGTGATTGGAAGTGAGATGGCGATTTCTCATATCTAGGAGGTGCCTAGGTAGAAGTTTCCCTGGGTAGGGATTAGGCGAGAAGTTGTAAACGGGGTAGTTTAGTTTTGAACTAGTGCTACTGATAGTGGATTTCCTTCCTGGCTTGGTAGCCCCCAGAGTAGGTGATTTGCACCGAACTAGGTTAATAATTCTTTGTGTTCTTTTACCTTTTGCACTTTATAATTTGGCATAGTTTTATTTTTGGTAAAAGTTTATGTTCTGTCAGCAGATGTTGTAACATTTATTGTGACATTATGCTTGTGCTTTAAGACATTAGTCTTGACTTCTAATATTGTGTGTGCGCCAGAAATTCAATTAGCATCAGAGCAGGCACTCTATTCTGCTTATTGGGTGAGCTCCAGGGGAAATATTTTCTAGCACTATAGACAAGGAAGGAGGATACTATAATAGGCCACCCTTGTTGGATGGTGCAAATTATGACTGGTGGAAGGTTAGGATGGTGGCTTTCCTGAAATCTATGGATATGAAGGTATGGAAAGTTGTTCTAAAAGGATGGGATCCTTCGGGTATGAAGGACAAAGATGAGAATGTGATATTAAAGCCAGAGGAAGATTGGTCTGAAAATGAGGATGAATTAGCTAGTGGAAACTCGAGATCTCTAAATGCACTATTCAATGGAGTGGAAAAAAATGTCTTCATGCTAATCAGTACATGTACTATAGCCAAGGACACTTGGGAAACCCTCGGGACAAATTATGAAGGTACAACAAAAGTAAAAACATCAAGGCTTCAGATTCTCACCTCCAAATTTGAAAATCTCAAGATGAGTGATAATGAGAGCATTCAACAATATAAGATGAAAATTCTTGATATTGCCAATACATCCTGCTCCTTTGGAGAAAAAATATCATAACAAAGGCTTGTTAGGAAGATTCTTAGGACCTTACCTAGGAAATTTGATATGAAGGTAACAACCATTGAGGAAGCTCAAGACATTAACAGCCTGAGAGTTGATGAACTTGTTGGGATGCTTCAAACTTTTGAAATGACTTTGAGAGACAAGTCTGAGTATAAGAACAAGAGCACATCTTTAACATCCAATGCAGAGAATGAAGAAGATGAAGTGAATCTAGATAAAGATAATTGAGTAAAGAATATTATTGTGTCTCTTGGGAAGAAATTCAAAAAAATCCTAGAAGAACTAGACATAATAGATAGACAAAATGTTGGAAACATCTCATCTGACATCAGTACGAATTTTGTGTCTAAAAGGAAAAACAAAAGTGATAAGACATTGAATCAAGAAAATAAAGTTTTGTGTAATATATGTAAATGTTTTGGACATATTAGAGAAGAATGTCCAACATATTTCAAGAGACAATAAAAGAGAATACTTGTTGCTTGGGGTTGTGAAAAATCAGAAGTAGAATTCATCAATTTTGTTAAAGCTTTTTCAGGAAGACGCAACCCTACTAAAATTCTGAGTAAGGAAAAGAGGATGTGTTCTAGAATGTCTGATGTCCAAAAGAAGATATTATTGTTGCTAGCTGAGCTTGAAAACATGGCCAGTCTATCAGAATGTCAAACAAGGAAACACTAGATGATAAAGTTAATACTTGTATAGGTGTTGTAGAGTTAAGAAGCGTTTATCTGATAAGGAATTTGAACAAAAAAATACCCATCCTATCAAAAATAACGATGCTATGATGTCAAAAAGAAGTTAAGGTGTTATAGGAAACATCAGGTTCTGAAGTGTCATCAATGTAAGAGGTATGGTCATATAAGACCCTTTTGTTACAAGTTTTATGGATACCCTAAACGTGTTGAAAAGAAGGGCAGAAAAATGGAAAGCTAAAAGGCTGAACACTTGTCTCTTTACTCAAATCCATTACAGTACCAATTGACAAAGTGTATAATAAGCCTCAAATTGAGGAAAATCACTGGAATGTCATAAGATATGTCATGACATTGGACTATGATTACTTGAGTGACATTAATAGAGTAAACTGTATTACTCAATATGACTGCTCAAATCAAGGTGATAACTCTTATCATCCCATCAATGAGGTGCTAAGGGGAAAAGAAAGTGTTGTTCAACGTGTGGTCACAGAAAGAAATCTAAAAAAATGTGACAAGAATGTAAGAGAAGGTGGAATTAGCATTACTAAGACATTATGGCAACCAGTAATGTGGAGGTATGCAACGGATAATTTTGTCTCTCATCTTTTTTTGGATCATGAAAAATCCTTGGCATCATTACAAAATTTTGATTTACCCAAGTTGATACACTACTTAAATCCCAAAACCT